AAAAAAAACAAAATAACAACAAAAAAAACCAAAACAAAAAAAAAGGCAAAGAAAGTTAAAATGTAACCAAACTCACCACACACAAAATAAAACAAAAAACAACACAGACCAAAAAGCCACTAGATTGTGCTAAAGGGAATGGGGACTTCCAACCACCTCCCAGTGCGACCCAACATACTCAGACTTCTTAGGTTTCTTTGAGAAGACTTTGACTCAGTTCTACAAAAATACTTCTAAGAAACTGAATAGTTTCTTAGAAGCTGAATAGTTCTGAAAATTATTGAGTAATAAGCAAATTAAACTGTATATTTATAAGTTAAAGTGACACTAATTAGGGCCCTTAGGCAGCAGAAAGAGACAATCGAAATCGCATCCCTCTTTTCCTTTATATTTAAAAATGTCCTCTTGGTCTTGCATGTGAATTCAATTGGTTAATTTACCCATAAGAATTTTCCCTTTACAGGGGAGTGGGGACCTGCAATTACAGGGCTATCTAATGCAAGGGTGCACACAGTATTTTCTTTCTTTAGACTTTTTGTGATGCAAGAGGTTCAGTCTCAAGAAAAAGCACCAGAAATTCTCCAAAAACCACATCAGGAATAACTATAAAGATCTGTTGAAAGGTTTTAAATGTTCTTGAATCCATCCTACATTCCTTTGCCCCATCTTCCCATAGGACTGGGCCGTTCAATATACAGGCTCAAACCATTTCAGAGGAGCTGAGAACAGGTTAAGACTTTTTTTTGGCACAGGTTCCTCTTCCCCAGTGATTTGTCAGGGAGGGCTTTTCACTGTTTTCTACTGAGAAAAGACTATTAAAATCGAGAAATTTRACTTCAGAGCCTTTAAACCTTACTAGTACCTCAAGAGTCATAACTTCTCTCACTTTTCCCCTCACTCCTCCAAACTCTTTCCCACCTTGTACCACAGTGAAACAAAGAAAATAATATGCAAGCACAACACTTAAAATATATATTTTTAATAATTTGTCTTCTAACTACTGAAGACCTCTGAGCTCTTGGGACTTATTTGTTAAAGTTATAATAAGGTCTTTACAACAGCTTACAAGCTGAATACAAGTTTGACATGGGAACATTCAATTCACGCTAATAGCCTGGAGAGATCTGCCTAAAATTTCAGACATGCTCTGTTGATAAACAACTTTTTTTTTCTTTAAAGTTTTCAAGCAAAGCAGTTTAAAACTGGGACTTGGCTGAGAAGAAGTTCTTCAGGGTGGGAAATAGTCATAATTCAGAATTCTTCCTGACTTGCCCTACTTTTTCACCATTATTCATGGACAAAAAAGAATCCAAACAAATTTTTCCCATTGCATTTTGGAGTTAAACAGGAAGGCCATGTGCCAGCTGCTTCTCACAGCARGGCCTCCTGCCCCAAGGATCCATACAGCTGGGGCACTGCTTAACATGGTCCAAAACACAAGTCTCACGCACCACATTTCTGGCTATTTGGGATGCCTGCCATCAACACACAGCCCCAAAAGATTTGCCTGCATGGCCAGCCTCTACTGGCCAAGGCAGGCTCCTGGCTGGCCACAGGACAAACCTAAACCTTATCTTAAAATTGTTTGCCAAAAGATTGACGTAAACATTCTCCACCATTTATCTGAAACAGRCTCCAAGATGCTGCCAAAGCTTGCCCAGCTCATCCAGGCCTAAAAATGAGCCTGATGTGGGAACCACAGGTGGCCAGAAAAAGTACTACCCACTTCATTCCTTAGGCATCATTTATTACAGAAAACTCCACCRCTCTGAACTTCAGAAAGAGTCTTTGACCTACACTGAAGAAAAATCCACTTTTCAAACTTGCCYTCAGATTGTCAGTAAAAACAGGCCACAGACCTTAAGGGCCTGCACTGCAACTAAATGGTGGTTTTAATGAAGTTTTTTAATGARGTTTTAAACTGGACCGGTCAAGCTCTGCAAGGTTGCAATTTTTACTCAAAAYGTGTAAATCTTTAACTTCACATTTCCAGAGCATTACTATTTTTTTATTTATAAATGAAGGATCCTYCTTTGAAACTCTGCTTCCCTTTCTGAATTGTATCTGATAAATGCACACAACCAAAGAAGTATCTCCATCCTTCTGCACGTAATATGCAGAGAAGAGCAAGTGCCCTTGGAAGGGGCAGCAGGAGAGGTTGTGCTGCATTTGGTTACCCTTCAGCTGTGAGAAAGTGAAAAAAAACATGGTTCAGTGGTTTAAGACTCTTCCTTTCACAAGAGTAATAGACAGCCTCAGGGAACAGAAGGGAAGGGGAAGCCRGGGGTGGCAGGGTAGAGAAAACAAAACATGAGATGCAAGTGCTACACAGAGGGACTGAGGGAATAGCAARGTTGATCCAGTTGTAATCAACTAAATAACTACCTAGACAATATAAAACAACTCTAAAAACTGGACCTTACAACTCCAAATGAAAAAAAAAAAAAATAATTCTGGGCTCAATTGGATTGAGGCCACAAAGAGCCAGCTCTTTTAGATGATGCTTTATTGGGAAGCAGTCAAAGAGATCTTTGTGTTTATATCCATATAAAATTTGGTATCTCTGATCTCTGTCATACTGTTACCAAAAAAGAAGTGTGACTAAGAAAGCTTGAATGCTACTTCAGTATGGCTATCCAGCCCTCTCAGCCTCGAGTCTCTTAGGGTTATTTTCTTTTCACAGGTCGTCTTTTATTTCATGCCCATCATACGTGGCTATTTTAAGGGGCTATAGAGAGGTGCTGAATGCTGATAAGGCAAATCCTGTATCCCTTAATCCACTGCTAAATCACTCTGCCAGCCTTCAAGGGTACCAGACAGATGGAGTGCACTAGGAAACTGCCCACAGGCTGGTTACTTCAAGCCCAGCTCATCTTTAATCCAGAAAGGTTTTGTTCTGGTATTTTAATCATTGATTGACTGGGAACTCTCTTCCATGCTGGGTTAGGTAAAATATCCATGTCAGAAGTACTGGGGAATTCGTAAGGCTGTAGATCATATGAGTGGTGTGAGACAGGATGCATCTCAAGGGAACCAAGGAAGCCATGAGGAATGTAAAAAGTCACAGGGTTAAAGCCACATTAAGACAGCTGTTATGTTAATGAGAGTTCTGCTTTTCTTCTAGCTGTGGGTCATTGATTTAGAAAAACATGAACAAGGTCTTTTTTCATTTTATCGTATTTTTCCACTGCAGCTAACATAGACCAAAACATCATATCCAAGATCCCATTCGTCTTGCTTAGAACACTTGTGAGGCAAATTATCTTTATTATGTTTGTGTGCAAATGATTCCCAGGGCTCGATTTAGTATTACCTGGCCAAAGTCTATATACAAAGCTGTTTTGCAAGCATTTCACTAAGTAAACATGTTAAGAAAAGAGTCATGCACCACTGAGTTTGCCTTCCAGACAAATTCATCCACACATCTGATTTTCTCCCACAGTCATAACAAACACTTACAAGAAATGTGGTGTGAAGTCTTCTGCAAAAACATTTAGCAGGTAAAACTGAAAAAGTCTGRGCCTTTCAATTCAGATGCTCAATAATACAGCCATGCTGCAATAGGCATGATCATCTTAAAAAGTCAGAGGGGTATTTTGTATTGCTTATTTCAGTTTGTAGAGTCTGAATGCCTCAGGCTGAGTTTCAAAGGTCAAAACATAATAGAGTTTCACCAAAGAAACCAAATTCACCTGTATCCTTGGTTAGACCACAAATCACCACTCATTTCCCCTCCTTTGTTAGATCACAATCTTCTACATTTTGCTTATCACCCAACCACAYATTTKCTTAGTAACACTCACAACACAGAGTGATTTAAATGGGATGTACTTTTCCCAATGACTCATAGATGTCAAATAGTGAAAGAGCAGCAGAAGATTCTGCCTGCAGTATTAAACTTTTCACAGGATGTGTTTTTTGACATTGAACAGGATAAGTCCTAATCTAAACTTGAACKCTGGGAGTTTATTCCAGAATGATTTGGCTGCTATTTTACTGGGTTTAGACAGCTAAAAATCCAGGTTCATATTTTTTAAAAATTTAAATCAACTCTATGATATTGCTCTAGTACACTAGCTTGTTTTAGACAATACAGATCTACTTGGGGCTGTGAAGACTTCCTAGTTATTTGAGGATTTATTTTCTTTGAATTAAACTTACAGTGGGGATAAAAGAGATATTACAATGTTTATACCAAATCAGATTTGAAATCTAACCTAAAAGTGAGCTGAAAATACTGTACCAGCCACCTTGCTCACTTGCATGGCTCTGTAGACAAATTGTCCTTTAAAAAAATGTTTTTCTGTACTTTAATTAACTTTAATAACTAATTAATAACTTCTGTTAATAATAACTAATAACTAATTAGYTAATTAACTAATTTAATAACTTCTGTTAATGCCTGAAAGACCCAGACAACAACAGATGAAATCAGGTAAATAACCATAAACTAGCACAACAGCTGACCTGGTTACATGCAGAGAGCTGTCAAATGCATAAAACATGCAAATGGGGATATCAGACCTTCTTCTTCTCCAAAGATTCAGTATTATATTCATGGCCAGTATGGAACAATTACTGGGGAATATGCAAAAGCTTTTTCAAAGCACTTCTCTTAAACAGTTGTAAACCCACATCCATGCACAGATGTAAAAACCCCACAGCTGTAAACAATGTCATTTAACATTTTCCTTCTACTCCAGAACAGGATCATGTAAGAATATAAAGGACTCACACGATAACACAAAAAGAAACCCCTTTTATTAGGCAGCTTGTGAACACATACCTGGACACGAGCCTCTGTGAGTTTGGCTCTTTGAGCAAGTTCTTCCCTGGTGTAAATGTCAGGGTAGTGTGTCCTCTCAAAAGCTCTTTCCAGCTCTTCCAGTTGTTCTGCTGTGAAGGTYGTCCTGCTGCGACGCTGCTTTCTCTTCAAAGGTAAATCTGGTTCAGAATCGATGTCAGAGCCTTCATCAGACTGAGGTGCTGATGCTCAAAAAAGAAAAATAGGCAAAAATTAATTTTAGTTAAGGAGAAGGAACAGCAAATTATTGAATCAGTCAATGACATCCTCTTCTATGGAAGCTGTCTTGGACTAAAGGCCCCACACACACCTTAAGTTCTGGTCAAAACTTAAAGAAAGTCAGCGAGAAACAAACTACATAGATCATGACCATGACCSTGGAGGGGGCTACCAACTCTTGCAATCAGCAGTTTATAAAGAAATCATTATAGAAACTCTGGACTTCACAGGCATGGAGATAGTGAGGTCACAAACAGGGACAGTCAGGTCCTGGCAGCATTTCCCTGGCAATCAAGTGAACTCCTGCTACAGCTGAACCCCAGAGCTATAACTCTGAAGGCAGCAGAGCCTCTTCCAGTACCCAACCATATTCTCCAGCAAAGGGYAATGAACCAAAAAAGTAGACATTCAAAGCCAGTCTTCACTTGCATCAGCTGCTGTCCAGGCAACCAGCATTCCTTCTTGCCTGAGTCTTCAAGGGAAACCACCTAAAGAGGGCAGACACTCCCCAGTGATGTTGAAACTGCTTGTTCAATGGGAATAAAACCTTTACTGCTACAGCTTCAAYAATGCCAAAGAAATTATTGATATAGACATTGATTTAATATAATCCTTTTAATGTAATCTATTTGGAGKCAAACTGTTTCTCAAGCTCCAGCTGAAGCATCCCACTGCGTTCATTTCTAGCTATCTTACATTTCCAATTTCACTCAAGCTGTTTGAGCTCATAAATACACCTAATCTGTTTACTTAGAGCATGAAAAATGCAAAGTCCTTTTTTAGACAATTCAACAGAAAAGTTTATTAATTTCTCCATATGGAAAAAAAATCACAATTATTGCTAGACCAGCAGCTCTTTTGTGAAAGGTATCCTCATTTTCCAGACAGCATCAATATCTTGGACACAACACACACAAAGAGAAACTCCTGTGGATCTCAGCAACAATATACTGAGCAAACATGCAATTCCCAGAGCCTCACTTGCAGTGAAGGTTTGCCCCAAGTAAGACTGGACTAAGAGGTTCTCATTCTTGAGAATATTGTTCTCTAGAACAAAGGAGAATCAGCACAAACATCCTATCCTAATCAGTTCAAGTTCAGTCCCTATTAAAGAGGTAAWCTAGAGTATCCCAAAATTAACATAAAATCCCAAATCTTCTCATCTAGGGTCCCAAGCCTGCCTTTCTCAGCAACAGCCAAGTTATAACCCTGCAGGATGGCTCCATGCTGTCACTTGGGAACAAAAAGAAACATAGGATATTTTAAATACAGTWCCCCAGTGTCACTCTCAGATATAAATCATCCACCTTATGCAGAACTACTCTGCTGCTCAGCTAGGCTGGTGGAGGAGAGCACACCAGCCACACAGCCAGGGCCACTTTGGCTACCACTGCACTCTGCTCATACCTGGTGTAATGAGATCTGAAACAGAGCTCAGAAATGCCTCTTTTGGAAGCAACTTCTCTGACAAAAGCTGCCTTTAATTGTGGGCAATGAGTTTTTTTTAAAAAAAAGAAGTTATGAAGTCAGGAACTTTTTCAGACTCCACATTTATGTGTAGAATTTCTTCAAACATCTATGTACCAGCCCATAAAAAGTCAGCTTAAAGAGTTCAATTTAAAGGCGATACTAAATTTCTGAAGGGAACTTCCTCACCAAGTGGGAAGTATCATTATCTTTTTTTAAATGTTTTATAAAGACTTTGCAAAATCGTGGGATGCTTTCCTATTCTCTCATTCCTTTCTGCAAGACAATGCAGAAATGAAATCCTGATTTCATTTTATATTTCATTAAGCAGTATATGAAAGGTACAAAGGTTTAAACAATTTTTAAAAACCCTATAGTAAGAGTCTGGAGGAATATATGTAAACAAGTGCAAGAATTTAAAGAGGAAATAATAAAACGAATGTAGGGATCAACAAATGAAATTATTTTCATATCTATCTGCTTTCATTTACATTACCATTTGCCAGGCCTTGCTGCTGTGTGCAGCTTTATTGGAATCATTGGCTTCTTTTACCTTATTTGCTCTGTGATGTTAAAGTCAGACAAATGTAATCTCAAAGGATAGATACATGTCTGTGCTACAAACTACATCGGTTTTATTTTTTACAAAGAATTYTTAMATATTAYTAACACCAAGGAAGATTTTTCTAAYTTTTTTTCCTAGTGAAATACCATTATTAGACYTTTGTATAGGTGAGAAACCAATCARAGTACTKGCTAAGCACAAAATCAGATACACCTCARCCTTTAAAAAAGCAATATTTATTTTATATATGTTCAATAGCCACAGTGCATTGCCCTCTCTCTAAGCACTATCTCACTAACCTGTGTACTAACTTCCATAATATACAAAAATATTATTCAGCACAGGCAAAGCTGGGTTATCTCTACATCCATCACCTCCACAGACACAAAACATGCATATCACTAACCTTTACGTGTGTCTTAATGATCTTAATTTTCCAGCCCCTCTAGTTATAAATAGTAAAAGGAGATTTAGTACCCAGGGAGATTCCTTGACTGAACTCCTTGGCATCACCAGAACCCCTCTTACTGTACAGCTCAATACAGGAAAGGCAGCCAACAGCACCACCAGTAGCTAATTCATGAAGTTTAATTTTAAAAGGAATTACAGAATTAAAGAGAAATTATTTGTCCSTTAACCACTCATGACCTATCTGGTGGCCTAAGGAAATGCTGCATGTCAATTGTCCCCACAAAATGCAAAACCCCACTTCTCAGTATCACACCCAGTCACCTGGAGTTCTGCAACCTCCCATTTCCAAACATTGTAAATACACACATCAGGGCAGAAACTGAACAACAAAATGACACACAAGAGGTCATTCTGTGGACTGTTCTTCCTCTCAGCAAGACATTTCATTTGAATAATTAAATAACAATAACATGACAACCATTTAAAGCCCATGCATTAGGGCTGCAGCTCTGTGCACCTGACAGAGGCAGGCAGAGAGGTTATCATGGAGAGGCTATCATCCTGTGACCCAGGGAAGCAAAACTTCTCTGGCAGCTCTTCATGCACTGTGACATTTCTTAATAACATAYTATACAGCCTCTTCCTCCTAGTGTAACAGCCAAAATGAATTCTGTCTAGCCACAGATCTCACGAGAATAAGGCCAATGAACAAAAATTAAAAATAATAAAGGCCAGAGAGGGTAGYGGTTTATTAGCTAGCTACCCTCCACACATCCATCTTCTCAGTTCTTTATTTAAGCAAGATTTATTTCACAGGCTCTCCCCCTTACTCCACCCCACCTCTGGGACTCACCAGGGTGTCCACACTGCTGGCCCCAGACCTCACCGGGGTGTTCATTCTGAGGGCTGTGGGGCTCATTGGGGTGCCCACACTGCTGGCCCTGGACCTCACCAGGGTGTTCATTCTGCTGGGTATGGCACGCTCCCCAGGGTGTTCATTCTGAGGTTTGTGGGGCTCAATTGGGGTGCTTATTCTGCCAACCCTGGCGCTCACCAGGATGCCCACACTGCTGGCCCTGGGGCTTACTGGGGTTTTTATTCTGCTGGCCCTGGTCCTCACTGGGGTGCCTCCACTGCCAGCCCTGGGCCTCACCGGGGCAGTGGTGGCTGCCAGCCCTAGGACTCCCCGGGGTGTCCATTCTGAGGGCTATGGGGCCCATTGGGGTGTTTATTCTGCTGGCCTCACCAGAGTGTCCCTGCTGCCAGCCCTAGGCCTCAGGAGGGTGTTCATTCTGCTGGCTATGGCACACTCCTCAGGGTGTTCATTCTGAGAGCTGCAGGGCTCTTTGGGGTGTTTATTCTGCTGGCCCTGGGGCTCATCGGTGTGCCCACACTGCCAGCCCTGGGGCTCATTGGGGTACCCACACTGCCGGCCCTGGGGCTCATTGGGGCATTTATTCTACTGGCCCTGGGGCTCACCGGGGTGCCCACGTTCCCAGCCCTGGGGCTCACCAGGGTGCCCACACTGCCAGCCCCGGGGCTCATTGGGGTGTTAATTCTGCTCATCCTGAGGCTGACCGGGGTGCCCATGTTGCCAGCCCTGGGGCTCATCGGGGTGCCCACACTGCCGGCCCTGGGGCTCACCGGGGCAGCGGTGGCTGCCGGCGCCTGTCTGATCCCCACAGCCATGCAGCCCGAATGACCTCCTCGTGTTTGCTCGGGTGCAGGCRAGGGGAGTGCAGCGGGGCCGCCACCCCCACACAAACCCACAGCAAATGACAAATGAYACTTTCTCTTTGTGATCTTTGGGATTTTTGTTGACTTATTTGGAGGCTTTTGTTGGGTCCTATGAAATGGCCTGTRGCTGAGGCCTATTGGGCCGATTTCCACGCTCCATCTGTGGTATCCATCAGCGGGGCCTTTGCCCGCATTCAGGGCTCTGACACCTGCCTGGCAGGATGCGGGAGGCACAAAGGCGGCTGCCGTGGAGGCGGGGGCRGCGGGCCGGGGGGCTGGGGAGGGCAGCCCGGGTGAAGGGGATGCACAGCAGGGGTTAATCCAGCTCCCCCTCCCCAAACCTCCGCACCTGGAGGCGTCCCTCCAACTTAAGAGGTAAGGGGTTCGCAMGCAGCCCTCCGTCACACTGCGGTGGAATTGAGGAGGAAAGGGAGGGAGAGCAGCAGAGCTGCCCCAGCATGGGGGTGTCAGAGGCGCTCCCCAAAYGCACYTCTGGTGYTGGCTCAACACCACAGCCCSGASCAGCAGTAGGTGGCCAGCAGGGCATTCCTGCCTGGACTCTTGTTTGTGTTGGGTAGGCTTTCAGCAGCTGGTTTTCARCAGTCAGCAGGATAGAAACACACCAAGCATCCTTTTCTTCATCAAAATAAAGTCCACAGGAAGATAAAACAGCACTTTATTTCATGCCCCCCCTCTCTCCTTCCCTCTCTGCAGTCCTGTTTAGGGCCAGGTTCTTCTAACCATACAAAATATAACAAAGACTCTGGAGCCAACCACCTCTCTCCCTTC